TCTTGAGTATATTTTGTGTGTGTGTGTGTGTGTGTGTGTTTATACCATCGTAGTTTTTATACTTACGCTCCTTGGCTGACATCGTGGGTTGTGTTGTTGTAGTTTGTAAGAATTATTCTATTGTCAATTTGAATAAAATTTAATTTATAAATATTTTATTTTATTTGTTATCACAACCCATTACTTAAAATCATATTTCTCACATATTTAATAAAATGTAAATGTTTGACAAAAGTCCTGCCTTAATAAAGACCTTAAGAATAAAGGTATTATTCTCTTCAATGATAGTTACCTACAAGAGCTATGTAGACGACATTCTTGCCATCCGTATGACCAAAGATATGAAGTATTTCTTGTAGTTTTTTTCTTCCTACAGCAAAAGTTGTTTCTTTTTAGACAACCTGTGTATCACAAACCAACCCAACTCCCACTGTTCATACCAGCTAACTCATTACAAATATCGTAAATAACAGTTCACAAATGCATATATAGAGATATTTTTTGAAGGGGGAAAATGGTCTTCACAATTTGAAATCGATCGAACACACAGTATAAACGCGCGCCATCTATCATAGGATAAATGTACTATGTCAGAAACCTTCGCGGGAGTGTTTTAAAAAACTTCTCAAAGTTTCATGACAATTGGATAAACGGTGTGGTAATGCATGAAGGACGAACAGACAACCAGACATACATTCATTTTTATATATATAGATAAACCAAATGTAGAGTTAAAATTTATTTAGTGTTTGTTTTGAAGTAACATTAAAGAGACGATGTGGCTCGATACGGTTATCCATGCTTTTCGTTCTTTATTCAATTCGCGCCTCTATAAATGAAGTAATTTTTAAATATACTGTATACTAGACACAAATTAAGAATATTCTTTAGACATTTGTAATTTACATTTATACAACATCATCAATAAATATTGTATACACATAAAAACGTGATAATTTTTAATATCGAGAATAAACGTTTTATGTACTAACGACAGAATATGCTTATTAAATTATATTATTTGGACTTGGTTGTCAAATAATTTCCTATTATTATAAGACCAAGAATATGAAAAACAAAGCTCAAAGCACACCTGTGCTAGAGCCCTATTTATAGAAGGCTCTACTTGTGACCTAGATCATCCAAGGTCTATTAAATAAGACCTTGAGATCAGCGGTCGCCAACCGATGGTACGCAAGAAAATTTTAGAGGTCCGTGGATAAATTTGGACATCGATCAACTCAAAATTACGTGAAGTATTACGAAAGAAATGCAAAATGCTCGGTTGCTTTATCTCACTCATTAGTTTTAGATTCGAATATAAAAAACTCCAAACACGCTATGACTGTTATCAGGGCCGGCCCATTCATATAGACCAGTGTTTCTCAACGGGGGCAATATCGCCCCCACGTGTGCGTTTTCCACGTTGAGGGGGAGATTAGTAACAATTTATATTTTGGGGAGAGAAAAACAATTTTCTAGGCGATATAGTAAAACATTATATTAAGAATAATTAGTTATTTTATTCGTTATATCGTACAATAATTAAACAAATAACATTATACTAGTCACTAGTCTATTCGGTGCAGTGCGAATTTGGTGTTAGCCTCGACCCTCGACATCGGAATTTTGTAGTGAAGGGGGAGACGATTAGTTAGAGGTTGAGAAACACTGATATAGACGAACTAAGCGATGGCCTAGGGCGCATTGTTGCGAATTTTTTTAAATGGGGCGAGGTCAATGTCATTTGCCTAGGGTGCTGAGTTTGCTCGGGCCGGCACTGACTGTTATCAATTAATAATGTGAGTGAGAGCGTCGTCCTTCGTGGAAAACATTCAAGAATCCATAAACTTATTACGAAGCAGCAACAAACTTCACATTTATTTGAAATGAAACAAGATTCTGTATTAATAAAATAAAATAAAACTGAACGTTTGTGATTATTATTCTATAGATGAACAATTATGATAGTGGTCCGTAAGGTCAGAAAGATTGGACACTGCTGACTGTTACTGGAACCGGCTTAGAATAAAAAACATACAATTTTTTTTTATTGCCAATGGATTTCTCTGACTAGCCGACGTAATAAATAAATGGATTTTGATAAATTTCAGAAAACAAAGTACATTCTAAGTAAAAATTTTAAACATGCAACAATCTTAGTGATACATTTATGATAAAATATAAGAAACATCGATTCTTGGCGCAAAATATCGCAATTGGAAAAAAATCCTTATTAAATGCAATAATTAATCAAGAAACTACTGTTTTAAAACTTATTTATTAAAATAATAAACTGAACATATTAACATAATTTCAAACATTATAAAAATGGAAATGATTATAAATTTTTATTACAACTAATACTTCTGGTTTATTCTACTTCTTACATTCATTATCTGACAAGATAATCGAAAATGTTCTCTTCTACTGGTAAAACTAACACGAAACACCTTAAAATTATTACATGACAGTTTAAGTAATTTCTAATATCGGATTTGTTTACGTAATTAAAATACAAATTATATAAGAAATTTTATTCTAATTTTATAAAAATTTATAAATTTTAAGTTTTTTGAACATTTTTTTCTTATATATTACTTCGAAAACCTGTATGCTAACCCACTCTGTCACATTACATCAATCAAATATCAAATTTTTATCACATAAGATTATCAGTTGTATTAAGGTACAATATCTTACAATTGTAGTTTAATTATATTTAAAAGAACAATGTATCGTGATTTATAAGGTCACCATAGAATTATTATTACATAATACGATCCCGACATTCGTATCAAAAAATAAAATAAATAGAGGAAAGAGCAAAAATATCTTCTGAGAACCAAATCTGTAAAAAAAATATCGTTTTGTACAACATTCCTACTTTGATACAAAATTATACGAAATTATTTCAAACTGCACCACATACCTTTTCTGCTAGCACACATGCTTTAAGAAAAGATTGCAAATCCATTGAAAAAGAGATGATAACTGTAAGAAAGAAACTATTTTGTACATTTTACAAAATTTATGCATATAAAACCTTGCTATAGAATTATATCAAATTGTGCACCTACCTTTGTGCTAGCAGCGATGTTTTACGAGGCACTCCGCGTGCAATCCTTTCCCGCAGCGTGTGCAAACTGTTCTGGAAGTACGTTTCCTTTCAGGAGTGCTACACACGATGCAGCGGTATCGACTTTCATCTGGTAGTTTGCGGAGTCCTATTGGTCCTCGGAGATCTAGGACAGGGGGGGACACACTTTTCCTCCGCTCTTCCCTCCATTCACTCGCCAAGCTCTCAATTACCGCCACAAGATATGAATGTCGAGACATAATGTTTCCTGGTCCTCTAAAATTTTCTTTGTAAAGAATGTAACTGTTCAACACCATCCTGCCTATGACGTTGAAAGCTACCTTCTTCCAATATTTGATTGACTTCCTTTCATCCAAATATGCATATAACATCATATCCGATGTATCAACCCCACCCATGAATTTATTATATGATAAAACTATTTCTGGCTTTATCTTAGCCACCCCGCCCCTAACAATTTGGTCCTCGCGAGCCCTTGCATGGCTGGATAAAAGAAGAACACCATCTTTTTTTGATTTCGTTTTACGAAATCCACAGGCTAATATCGGACCAGACCTGAAATACAAGGTCTGGCCGACCGAAAAATTTTTTTTGAACTGTGGCGGTAAGTGCTTCCGATTCCGACGCACCGTCCCCGTGACATAAGTTTCCAGGGAATACAGGTGGCGAATAAGGGGTACCGACACGAAATAGTTATCGACGAAAACATGGTAGCCCTTCCGGTTGTAATTCCCAAGATCCAATAACCGCCTAACGACAGTATACCCTAAACCAAATTTCGAGATGCTGTCCTTCTCCTCCTGGGACTCGGCCCCTCGAGAAGTGAAAAATCCCAGGCAGTAGTGCGAAACGGAGTCACACAGCATCCAAAACTTGATTCCCCAACGATGATGTTTTTTATTGGGCATATGCTGAAGCAGGCGGGTTCGGTTCTTGGTACCTACTAATGTTTCGTCGACGCATATTTCTTGGTGGGGCGTGTAGTGTTGTCGGAACACCTTATTCGCATGGTCCACCAAAGGTTGGTATTTGGCACACGGATCATAACCTAATTCCCCAGTGCCAGGCAACTTACTTTTATCTACGAGATGGAAGAATCGAAGCAAGTGACAAAAGCGGTGCTTAGAAAACATTTTCCTAAACCACGGAGTGGCCTGGGAGTCAGAAGTGGACCAGTATGACGCGATGCTAGATTTTTTGATAAGTCCCATATTCAAGACACAGGCCAAAAACCCCTTCATTTCTTTAACAGTTATACGGTTCCAATTCTTTAGATATTCGGGCACTTTCCCCCCCATGCCATTTATGACTTGCTTAGCATACCTGTTCGATTCCGCCACCATAAGAGAAAGCAGAGACATAGTGAAAAAAAGGTTAAAATACTCTATAGGGTGAGAATCAGAAGTAGGCATGCGCTTGGGGCCAGATTGTTCTAGGAAAGGGAAAGGATCAGGGATAGATTGTTCTGGTGGCAGAACTTCAAGGTACTCCTCATCGGAATCAGAAGCACTTTGAGAAACCTGACGAGAGCTGGTTCCGGCGCTCGTTTCGTCTTCGTCACTTTCATTTTCAGAATCTGATATGTCCGCTATATAACTTTGATCAGAGTCAGATTCACTAACGATATCTGTCAACTGATCTAAGCAGTCGGATTCCTCCAGTTTAAGCGATTTGCAATTATTGGCCATTGATGAAAAAATTAAAAGACAATGGAAAATCCTAATTTGGAATAAAAGGTAAATGTTAGAATCGAGCATACAAATAAAAATAAAAAAATTAAGAAAAATAAATTGCAGATACTAATCGAATAGCGAACGCAGAGCCACTAACAAAGAAAATAGATAGACTTACCTTGGATAAAACCAAAATTACTATCCTGGCAAAAGCGCAGAAGTGATTTCTAAAGTCGCGACTAACGGTTTTATACACGCTAAAAGCCACCTGGTGGAGTATAAGTAGAACAAGCGCAAGCAAGGTCTAATAACCTTGAGAGCTAGAGCGCAAGAAATAGAGTAACAAAGGAAACAATAAACAACTGCTAAATATCAAGAACGGCCTTTGCATTAAAAAATTATAATATTGAAAATTAAGTGTTTTAATAATATTTTTGTAAAATTGTATAAAGATTATATACATATGCATTTTTAAAATAAATAAATAAATAAATATACATATATATTGTTATGGATGGAAGTCAATGCAAGAAAATGTTCCGGAACTCCTTGTAATTACATTTTATGTAACAGACGAAATATTCTGTTTTCTATATATAATAAGGTGACCAGAATTTAACATTGCTAAAGCGGGACAAAATTCAGGGGGAGGAGGAGGGTTGTCTTGTTTAAAAAAATTGTTCTAGAGCAACAAAATTTTATCATAAAAAAACGCATAAATTGTATTGTATTTTTTTAAAACATATGTAAAATTTACAAATATAATAAATATAGCCTACATACTATTATAAATTTTTAAAAACTCTGTTCTTTTACATATTTCTCATTTGAGTGAATTTTTTTTAAATAAATTGCTGTCGTCGTTTAAAATGTCATAAAATTTTTCACAAGAATTTGTTAAATTATAACACTAAAAATAAATATTTTCAGTTAAAAACAAGTAAAAATATACTCTCTCTACTTCCGACTTCGAGCAATTCTACAGGTCAAACCCGGCAAATAAGTGACAAGGAAATAAATTAAACTTTTATCATTACCATTGACTTTATTATATTATTGACACATTCCAAATGTACTTCGCCTGTTTTTCATTAGGCCTCTTCGGTGGATACTAATTATCTACTTCTATTATCTACTTCTATTATCTAGAATTAATAATTCTAGAATTATCTAAAATTAATAATTCTGATTATTGAATTTAAATTTTACACATAATATTGCTTTTATGATCTCAACACTTAACCTTTTCCTTATCAATGTATATTTTTTTTAATAATGATACTTCATTAAAAAGATCATTTTCGGATATATTGTTATCTGGAAAATGTTGACTAATGTGATGGAATGATTTTTGCACATCTTCCCAATTAAGTTCTTGTTTTAACATGACCCAATGAAAATGTTCAATATCATTGTAATGTCCCAGCAAAGAATACCCGTTGTTCACACACACACACAGCCCTCAGGATCACATTCCTCTCTCTTGTTCTAAAGGATTTAGTCACCACTACCCAAGTAGGAAGGGTCGGGAAGGAAATTTCTACAAGGGACAAACAATAGACGAAAGAAAGGAAAAAATACAAAAATTAGAACAATATATATATCTAATATGGCGTACGAAACGATCTTTACCGAATCTTAAACATAAGACGCAAGTACAACCAGTATGATGAAGTGAAGATAAGGGACAATAAGAAGATTGTTTTAATTTACAGTAGAGTTTTACACGATGGGATAGTCCACAAATTGTAAGTGGGAGAGTTAACAGGGGTAGGGAAATGTAGAAGCGTGAAAGAGGAAGTGAAAGTGAGACGTATGAGCACCCTGCTGGGTACCGTTTGGAAACGATACACAGAGTTAACGAAAACCTGCCGTACTTTAATACATTATTTAAATTAACCACTACCGCTACCCCCTTCTCGGCTTCTCTTGGCCAAGTATAAATACCAAGTTTCATGTAGCTTTTGACCAATATTATTATTCATCACACAGTCTTTGTTTTTAAGTATCTCAAGATGTTCAAACCAACTCGTTTTTTTGACAATTTTTACAGTTTCCTTTATGATTTGGCAACTTCCGTTGTTACAATGAATAGCAACAGCTGAGTTACAATTATTATCTTCAGATTTCTATCAGTTTCACCTATATAAGATTTGAGAATAGTGCAGTTGCAACTGAGTTTGTAAATTACGTTTTTTTGGTCCAATATATCATTATTATTATTATGTGGGTTTATCTTGTAATTCAAACAAGGAAATTCATGGTGCTAAGGTTATACCGTAATTGTGTGATATAGATTTGATTCTTTCAAATAAATTTTGTTCGTATGGAATTTTAAAATATTTTTGAGTGGTTGTATTGTTTTTATGTTCGTGTTTATTAGTATCTTAATAATAAAATTTTGTAGAAATGTTAAAATTTTGTAGAAAAGTTAAAATTTATAAATTATACTAAGGGGGTACCCTTAATATAATTTATAAATTTTAACTTTTAATGACCAAAACATTTAGTTTGTTTTAGTCTTTTTTGATTTCATATTTGGATTATTTTGAAGAAACCGAGATTGTATTTATATTTTTGTAACGAATTGCAATTTTATTCATAAATATTAAAAGAAATTACTTTTTCTACTCGATTTCGATTCGTTCTGTTACTGTTTATAAATTCATAAATAACTCTAGCTGTATGTTAATTTTATTTTTCAGGTTAAAAAAAATGCTACGGAATCTGCTGTCAAGAAAATTAAAAGAAAAAATATGATGAAAAGTACAGTTAAAAAAAAGTGTAATAACGAAATTCAATTAAACTAAACTGAAGTAAAGTAAATAAATAAAGTGAACTAAACTTAAAAAGTAAGAAATAAAAGAATAATAAAATGAAATCAGTTTGTATTTAAGCGGGAAAAGTGTTGGATAAATTGCAGTCGTTCGTTGGGAAAAGTGTTGGATAAATTGCAGCCGCTTTTGAGATTTTGCCCAGTCTTGATTGAGGGAACTGAGTCTGAAACATGACGTCGGCGAGTCACTTGACACGACTAAAAAACATATTGAAACATTACATAAAAGTTGAAAATTTCCGATGGGATGAGAGAAAGGAGTTGAGCCGGGCCAATCCTGAGCAGGGTCAGTAACTCGCATTCGGGTTTGTCTCAGACTAATATAAGTTTAATTATACGTAATTTAATAAAATTTAAAAATAAATATTTATTTTTAAAGAAAATAATTATAAAACAGTAAACACCAAATATGTTTGTACAAATGTTTTTGTCTTGATAAGAAATGAAATGCTTAAAATCTATTTTCGTTAATTACGCTTAAAGAGTAGGATCCGGGTGTGATACGTCCCGCTATGCAAACCCCCGCCGGGAAAACCGAACCACTCCAGCGGAAGACAAAATTGCTTTGTCTCTGGCCTACGCGACATTAGTGTACGTAGAGTTGACATATTTTCNGTTAAAAATTATTTTTTTATTTTGTACAAACAAAATAAATATATTGAAAAATATAAAAACAATAAAAAATTATACTTCAGAAGTTAATTTAGTATCAAAAACATAAAATATTTGAGTAGCCGAAGACATAGCCAAAGATTACAGCGCCACAGCACTGGCGAAAATTTAAATTTGTCGACTGGAATTCCTTCGGATAACCGACCTTCGGATAAACGACGCTCTACTGTACCTAAATAAGGGAGGCGAAATTTTTCCTCCGCTCCGGGCGATTGATACCCACTCTATGCCACTGAATATAAGTTTATTTTTACGTAAATTTAATATTTATTTTTAAAGAAAATAATTATAAAACAGTAAACACCAAATATGTTTGTACAAATGTTTTTGTCTTGATAAGAAATGAAATGCTTAAAATCTATTTTCGTTAATTACGCTTAAAGAGTAGGATCCGGGTGTGATACGTCCCGCTATGCAAACCCCCGCCGGGAAAACCGAACCACTCCAGCGGAAGACAAAATTGCTTTGTCTCTGGCCTACGCGACATTAGTGTACGTAGAGTTGACATATTTTCGGGAGATCCCCAAAATATATCAAAAGTTGCTAAATTCCTTTTTCTGTACTGTCCCAATTAAAGGTTTAAATTATGTATTAGTTTATTGGTTTGGTTTCCGTTCTTTGAGATTTGGTCCAAAAAAGCGGCTGCCCCAAATCACCGGTGGCCCAATTAAACAGAATCGACTGTATTTTAGTACAAAAATAAAATCAAAAAGTCCACACCTTGAAAACAAAGTCAGCATTCTTCCAAAAGTTCCCGTTATTAGAGCTAGGCAGTTGAGGAAATAGATAACGATAACTTGGTGTCATCTAGTAAGGATGAGGGACGTAAATCTGGTTCCTTTTTTTAGAACTCGGGATAACTTTTCCTAAGTTCAACCAAAATTCACCAAACTCTCGAAAAATATCAAGCAACTGTATGGCTTTATATTCCAAAAAACAGCACCCAAAATGTCAAAATACTTTTTTGTTATTAACATCTTAAGAATGTGGGGTGAGATGTTCCCGCCTAAAAACAAGGAAACAAAGGAATTGAAAATAGATTCTTTTGTGGAGTGGGTGAATACTGACCAGTGTGTTGCTCACAGTGTGTTTGTGTTACAATTCTTACGAGGAAGTTGTGTAAGTTTATTGAGAAGCATAAACGAAAATACTTTACAACATTTATCAATTATTATGGTTTGAGGAAAAAAATGGATATACATATTACTTTCTAATTATTATTTTGTAATATATTCATAAGTTTAAATTTCATTCGTATCTGACATATAAAATATATTATTTATCTGGAGGTTATTGCGTATTCACTTATCCTCCGAAGAGTCGGCTTGACCATACGAAATTACTCGCGATGAGCGGGGGGAAATGCCTTCCGGGAGGAATTTTAAGGTTAACCAGCGTGAGAAAACCAGGAAAGCTCCACCTGGCCAACCCGTCCAGGGGAGGCACTAACCTACGATCGAATTACCAGTGTTCACGGACAGAACTGCTTGGCAAAAATATATTATTTGTGTACATAGAAAATAGTTTCTATCGTGATCTTCAGATGGCAGAAAGTAAAAACAATAGTTCAATCACATTTTCAGTTTTTGTTCTGGTCTTAAAATTTAAGTAATTAAACTTTATTTCGAAAATTATGAAATACATATTTTAAACTGTTAATATTTTTATATAAACCAAATTGGAAGTATTATTTTTTGTTTTTCCTATTTTATAAATTGTATTATAGCATATTTTGGTTATGTGTATTAAAAAATGACTGTAGAAATAATTGTATAAATATTTTAGCTTTTTTAATGCAAATTTATACTGTAATTTCT